ATGTAAGACTAGTTAAGTCTTCTATTTCACTAATACTGCTTATAACATATATATTATCTAAATTAGTAGTACCAGAATTAACATATAGTAAAGCTGAACCTAGTAATATAAAACAAGAAGATAATCCTCCTAGTAAAAAATAAGTTAATCCACTAGCAGTTGCTGATTCTGAATCTCTATATAAAGTAGAAAGTATATATAAACCGTAACTTTGTAGTTCTATAGACAAGAATACGGATATTAAATCTGCAGTACTCATTAAAAACACGGCTCCACATAGAATAAATACTATTATAAGTGCGTACTCTATTATACGGAACTGTTCTGATGTTTTATTTGCAATAGTATTTTTGTTATATGTTAATTTACTTGTTAACAGTTTAAAAAAAGATGATTGTTCTTTAATAAAAACTTTTCTAGGGTAAAAAGCAGTTAAAACTAGTATAACGGCACTAATTAAGAATATAAATATATTAAAAGCTTGTGTAGTAATATTTGATTAGTTAATATTTTTCTTTTTTTTTTTTTATTTGTAATTGTTCTGTCTACTCTCTATAGAAAGTGCATTTTTACCTAGTTCAAATGCAAAACCTAAAGTTAACACCAAGAAGAATAGAAGCATTATTATTAGACCAAATATACCGTTAGCGTATGCACTTACAACATAAGGGTATACTAATAGTATTTCTAGATCAAATAATAAAAATAATAGAGCGAATATGAAAAATGATATACTGAATTCACTTCTATTTTGCCCTAAGAATGAATGAAATCCACATTCAAAGGCACTGTCTTTTTCTTCGTACGGGTTATGCGGAGCAAAGATTAAATTAACAGCTAATAATATTATAGCTAATATAGGTATAAATATAAGAAAAAAAGTTTGACTTGTCATTTAAGCTTTAAATAATATAAGACTAAGAATACTAACTATATTAAATCATTCTCCTGGTATATATATAAATAATATAAGTAAAAGAGTTAAAACAGAAATAGTACTACTTAATGCACTATTAATTGTAATATTACTAGGGTTAAATTCAACTTTAACACCATTAGATGTATCTTTATTTGATGAAAAAGAAGCGGGATTGATGTAAGCAACTAAACTTAAGTTTTTTACTGAAGGGTTTATCTTGTAATCGTCTTTAAAGAAGAAAATTTGTTTTATTAGACTAAGATAATAACCAGCTCCTATAACACTTGTTAATATTGCTACAAGAGTCATAAATACGTAACCATTATCTAAAGCAGCACTTAAAACCATCTGTTTAGCAAAGAATCCTATTAGAGGAGGAACTCCTACAAACGAGAATAAAGTTATAGCTAAACTTATAGCAATATAAGGGTTAACGTAAAAGTAACCTTTTATTTGACTAATTAGTTGTATAGGTGAATTATTAGCATCAAGTAAATTTTTATATTCTTTGTCTTTATATACATGTAAATATAAAGTATATCCTATAGTTACTAATATTATAAACGCGTTTAAGTTTGATATAGAGTATTGTAAAATATAAAAAATATATGCTTGTATAGATTCTGCTTTATTTATAGCTAAGGCTAATAGGATAAATCCTACATGGCTAATAGTACTATAAGCAAATAATCTTTTAATTCTAAATTGTGTTAAACCTAGTACAGAACCTATTACTAATGAAAATAAACTACTTAATAATAATATATTTTTTCAAGAGAAGTTTAAATAAGAATACTCTGTATAGAATACTAACTCTAAGAAAAAGGCAAATATTGATATTTTTGCCACTATAGCAACATAAGTAGTAACTATTGTAGGTATTCCATCATAAACATCAGGAGATCAGAAGTGGAATGGTGCAGCACTTACTTTAAATAAGAATCCTACTGACAATATAATTAAAGATAAGTGTAAGTAATACGGTTGGTATCAGTATG